GACAAGGAAATCAATGAGAATGTTGCAACAGTCCAGGCAAAAGGTGATAAGGTTTTGAACCAGGATTCTGGCCATCATGGAGGGAAAAGGTCAGAGGCTAGAGAGTTCATGGAGTTAAGAGTCAACAAAATTTGGAAACTGATGGAACATGGGGGTGGGGGGGATTTGAAATCAAGACCGACTCCATGACAAGCTTGTGAACCCAGGTGAACCTTCCATAAAAGGATTTGTTCTGTCAAATTTGGACTCGGTCAAAAGGCCACACTTGAGGACCTAGAGGGCCACACTGGCCTCAAGGCTGCAGGTTCCCCACCCCTGCCCTAGAGGTTCTCTAGTCCCTTCTAGCATGAATATTCTTTGGTTCTAATCATAATACATGACCCCTGCCTTTAAGGAACTTAGAGAAGCAACTATAATTCAATGTAGTCTGCTAATTGCATCAAGAGGTAGCAGAAAGTGCTGTGCGTTTGGCTGGGCTCACAGGAACTAGAGGCAAGGAGCTAGGAAAGAAGGGGGAGGTAGCACTAGAGCTAGGTGTTAAAGGATGGGCAGGAGGAGATGGGAGGGCAGGGACTGTGTTCTTATTCTACTTTTCAGTCCTGTGGAGCAGGGCACAAGTGGTTGAATGAGAAAATAAAAAATCTGTTGTAGGCCTAGGGCACAAAGAGCAATTTAACCCACCAATTAATGTGTGTGTGTTGTGACCTGAGGCCTTTCTCCACCCTCTAACTCAGTTTCCTCATCTGTCAATTGAGGATATTGGCCTAGGTGTTTTTTAAAGTACCTTCTGGCTCTAAATTCTAAGATGTATTTGTTGAAGAAACCAGTCATGCCTTTATAAATCAGGAATAACCTTACTAGAACAAAGCACTGCCTAATCATGGCATCAAGGTCATTCTGAAACTTGTCTCTGTTTTATTAAGGCCCACTGAGCAGACATTATCTCAAACAGAAATGCCTGGCCTAGGGAGGGGAAAGATGGGCTGGTCTTTGAGGAGCCTGCTGATCAGCAAGTCAGATCCCAGGGGCTCACATGATTGTACCAGCTCTTTCCAATGGACAGATCTCCAACCTGTTCCTCCTTTCTGGGGCTGTAACAAATAACTTGAAGGAAGTGACTGTTCTGAGGAGCCAAATCAGGCCAGTGGTGAAGCATTCTAATATCTTGCAATCAAATGCACTCAACCTCCCTTCCAGCTCCAGTTGTGACTCAGTGCCTGGAACAGACCAAAGGCCTTTATTATTCTTGAAGACGCAAGCCAATGGCAACAGTTAGCTTTCAGGCCTGGGCTCAGTGGGGGTTCAGTGGAAAAACAAATTACCCTTCTTGTCCACCAGAATGGAGCTGAAACGCTGATTGAAATAACTGGGTGACAGAGACACCTAGTAGGAGAGGAGAGGGGGACAGGGCTGGAATTCAGACAACCTGCATTATGTTATTACAAAATGTTGACTACATGGGCGTGCAGAGGGTAGGTGCGTTTCCCAAAAAAAAAGAGGATGTGAATGGGATTAAATACTCTATTTCCACAAGGTTTCCCCTATGTGCTGCAGACACCCCCATCCCTAATCCCTAAAACTGGGGGTGGGAAAGGGAAGGGCTCCTGATAAACAGTATCCACAGAACCCAAAGCAAAAAATCCCTATTAAAGGTTTGGCATTAACCAAGCTGTGGTTACATCAGACCCACTGTGTACATCCCATGCCAGCGGACTACGGTTTCATTGTCAATAGAGGTGGTGATTCCTTCACCTTGAAAACTCTTGGAGGGCCCCTCTTCAGGTTCCTTCTCTTCTAGTCTCCTTGCATAATGCTCTAGTCATCTCTAAATAAAATGCTAGGGATGGAAGGTCCATGGAATCTGGAAGGGTCTTAGGTACATGGAAATGTCAGCACTAGAAGGAACCTTAGAACACAGAATACTAGTACTGGAAGAGAACTCTTCGTATGAAATAATTCAATTTAATTTCCAAAGACACTGGGAAACCCTGTCTACTGGGTCTTTATTCAGTTTGCTGTGCCTTTCGCATTGCTGATGGGTTAAAAAAAAATTAAGATGATGATTTATTTGCCTGATATTGTTTTTACATGTTTAGTCAGGTTGAGTAGTAAATCAAGTAGATGGTGTTAATCCTTGACTTCTTCATACACCCACTGTGGATCACCAAGCTCTCTAGAAGAGCAGATTCCTCCCCTCTTCAACAAAGCACTAGCATTTAAGTCTTATGTTCAACTAGGTCTAGTTACACCTGGTTACTTGTCTTTGCTTTTCGATTCCACGGTGAAGAGGTAGTGTTCTGGATCAAGAGCAAAGTCATCTGAAATCACCTCCCTTCTTGGATGAATTCCAAAGCACAGACACAACCCAAAGTACCTAAGAGCACTGCAAAATCAGGCATGAATCCATCATGGACTCGCAGTGAATTGATGACATGCCAAATTAAGGCTGGAGAGGAGAGCCTCGAGTATCTACTTTGTAAGGATTAGTACAGAGGGGAGGGAAAGATACCCCCCCCTGCCAAAAACAGGACTTAAAATGACTATCATTGGTTTGTACTTGACTTTTATTTTGCAATCCTGAGATAATCAATTTTACATCTGACAAACGAACAAAGACAAAAGCAGCACTGAAAGTTTCATAAAAGCATGTTTCTTCAGTTTTGGCACAGCTATATAAGAGTTCTTCTGGGGGGGGGGCATTACTACATTCTATAGGAGGGAAAAATAGAATTCGACAGGTTACGTAACATTTGAAGATCCAGGAGAATTCTTGGTTTGGATAGAAATGATTATCATTCTCCACTGGTAAAGCTGTTCCAACAAGAGTCCTCTGCCACGAAACAGAAAGAGTGGGCAGTTCGACAAAGTGTCTTGTGAAATGGCTCCTCTCTGGCTTTTTGGCCTTGCTGTTCGATCATCGTTCCAGGAAACACCTTGGAATCCTCTGATGCCTCTGTTTGGCAAATAACTAGGGGTGCCAAGTGAGCTTGGAGATTATGCTTCATTTAAAACATCCATAATTAGTTTAAAAGCTTCATCTATTTTAAAACACTACATGATTTATTGGGGAGACAACAAATCAAGTTTAAAATAATTTTTTTACAAAATAAACTGAAAGGATGAGAACACAAGTAACACTTGAGACATTATTGCTTTAAGTTGCTGTTTATATTAAGTTTCCAAGCAGAACTGATTTTAGTTGAAGATATTTGGGAATTCCAAGTCCCATGCTGGAGCATAACAGTGCAACATTCTCAATATCTGCAGTACTTTGTATATATACTAAATGAAGTCGTTTAAATATTTCTTGTCTCAAGCAGAAGCAAATGCTAACCTGAAGCTACAACACATCCCCAGTGTGGCAAAAACAGATCAAGAGTTTGTCATCTCAGACAACACTTACAGTCTGCATAAGTGGGGGGGAGAGAGAAATACTGTGTGTTTGAAATCGAAGGGTGTTTCTGTCAGCAAACCAAGTCGAATAAGAAGGGAAAGGATAGTACAGACACATAAGAATATGTGAAGTACAATCTGCAGGGGGAACTCCCAAACCACAAGTGTTTGTCTAACAGGTAGAAAGCCACAGACATAGAGAACCTCAGAGCTGCCCTAAGCCAAGCTGTGGCACTCATCTTGTGTGGTTCAACTAATAAACCAAAGATGGATCTAAAGGGATCACTTCTGAAACATCCACAATGGTGGCATTCAGAACGTCCAGTCAGTAGTCATCCAGAACACTAATGCATGAAATGAGCCTCAATTCCCCTGTGAGGTAGGTCCGGATTTGTTATCCTACAAGGACATGAGGTACAAAGGAATTAAGTCACTTGTTGAAGAGAACTCAGCAGAGCCCTGAATTCAGCCAGGAATGACTTGCATTTGAATTTCTAAACCACTTGACTTTCCATGTCTCCATAGCATCCATCCTATTCCCATAGATCTGTAGGGTGTGGCTCTTTGAAAAAAGTGAGCCAGATGCCAAGATGTGAAATTCTTACCCTATAAAATGTCAAAATGGGGCTTCCCTCCCACCCCCATCTGCCCCTGTCATCATAGTTGGGATTCTTGCCTGGATAGCAGTTAGCAGCTGTGCATTCAGATTCCACAGACTCAAGGAGCCAGAGTCCCTCAGGGCCTTAGCCCCTCCCTGGTGATGAAGAGGTATTAGTGCTTACCACTAGGGAGGGGCTCAGGTTGAGGCAGATGGAGGGGGTAAGGGGATGGAGAGGAACTTCAGCTTCCTTGGGTCTTTGGGATCTAAATATGCAGCAGCCACTGAACACTAAGTTGATCACCAAATATCTATCTGGTCAATGGCTACTAAGTGTGAGGCATTGAGAATTGAAGCTATGTGTGGCAGAATTAGGGAGGACCCAGGTGGTGGTGGTGGTGGTTCTTAGGCGTTCTTCCTCTAGGGTAAGAATTCAGTATGAGGTGTTCCACTCCTGAATTTCCCACGATCTGGGGGACTGGAACCAACAAAACAGAAAACGTGTGCTCAGAGTCAGGACGCACAAAACTAGAGAGGGAAACATAAAAAACTCCCTTCTCTTTCATCTGCAGAACACAGATCCCAACCAGGCGCTCCCTTCTCTGTGGAGATGAAGCCTTCCAAGCCAGCCGAGCTGGGCATAGTCCTTGATAAAGGCCAAAAGGCACCTGCCTGCATGGCCATCAGAGGCTTTCCCTCAGGCCTCACATCTGAAACTTAAATGAATTAAAAAATAGCCCCACAGGTCAAAGTGCTCCAATTAACCAGCTGGGAGTTAAGTTCTGCCTCCCTGACCTGGCCCAGGCAGGTTAATACAGTACAGTCTCAAAACAACAAGCTTGTATGATTTTAAGCTCAAGTAGTGAGGGACTACTTTTTTTAAAGTGGCTTTTTTTTTTACTTGTAAACAAAATAAAAGTGTTAAGAATTGGAGAAAAATAAAAACTATTTTCGTAAATCTACAAATGTTACAGCCTTTTTCATTAGGGCAAAAAAAAATACCCCTCAAACCTTAAAAAAAAAAGTATTTCAAACACAACTCAGTAGAAATAGCAAATATTGCTGATCACAACTAACAACAGTGGGAGTTATTGCTTGAAGTCGGGCAATGTATCTACAAGTGACTTGTCAGTGGTCACTCATACAAGGCTCAATTTCCCAGGGCTTCTCTTTATTCCAAAAGGAGGTACAATGCCACTTTCCCATGCTCAAGAATTAGCCTGAACACTGGTTTATGGGGCAACATGGAAATGAAACTTCCTCGGGGGAGTGGAGGGCAAATATTAGTGAACTGCCAATATTTTCTGACACTGACATTCACCATATGACTGAATTTTCCCCTCAAAAAAACCTCCCAAAGAACAGACCTTAAACAAGAAAAGAATAATCTAGTCAGATGGTTTATAGCTATTTGAAGAGGGTGACTTTTTTTTAGCCTATTTGTATATAGTCCTATCGACCAATTTGTTTTGCTTCTCCCCCGCCCCCAACTTCAGCCTAATAGCTTTACTCAAGACAGACAAGGCACTTTTCCAACAACACCTTTACACAACAGAGGTCCACCAACCTCTGCTAGTGGACTCTTATGGTTGTAATCCTAATCTATCACAGGGAAGGGAGGATGGGAGACGTGAGGCATGAAGCACCCCTGACCCCCTGACCAGGAGAACTATAACCGAGGAATGAATGAACACTTGCCTGTATTGGCTAGCAAAACCATATAAACAGTTTCCCTTCTACCAAAACCGAAACATAATCAGTTGGACCAAACTGTCCACCCAGGACTGGGGGAGGGAGGGGTGGGCAAGGACATCCATCCATCCTACCCTCTCTGTCCTTGAAGATATAAGTCTCATTGAGTAGAGAAGCACACACAGTGTACTGTCTCAAAGTGGGGAAGGGGGTGTCCAAGGGAGAAAGGAGAGAGAGAGAGTTGGGGGGAAAAAAAGAAATGTGATAGGAAGGCAAGAAGAGAAGGCAGGAAAGATGAGCTTGGGGAAGGACAAATATCCTGCGGCCTCTTGGGCAAAAAGATCTCCAGGCTGTGGGTAAGGAAACATTACTTTGAACTTTCTCCTGGCACTGTTTTGTGAAAAGGGCAGCTAGCTGCATGAGCAGGCAATTCCTTTGGAATTCCCTCAGTCTGGCCCTACCTTTCACAAAATGTGACAAACCCAAAGGACAGATCCTGGTGGAATCAATGAAAACCGAGTTCTAACTCTGTCTGGGGAAGCAATGAGCAACCACAGCACTCCAGTGTCATCATCTATCAATAAACCATTGTGACAATGTCATTGAAAAGAAAACAAAATCCTCCAAATGCTCGACTACACCTAACTTTTTGTCTGACTCCTCCAAAGAAAAACCATTTGAAAACACAAGCAAACCCAAAAATGAGAGAAATCTCAAGAAAGAAAACTGGGTAGGTAGTGTCTGGATAACTTAAGAAAATGAGATGAGCCCATGAGTCAATTCTAATGTAATGAACGGCAGCATGAGAATTACTTTTATAAAGCTATCAAAGTCCTTTTTCACAATTAACTCTCTGTGCTAGCACAAGACTCTGCACCCCACACTCACTCCTCCCTTGCCACAGGCTTCCCTCACCCTGGATAACTTCTGCTCCTGGTTATCTACACTTACGTGTTTCATGTTTCATGGAAACAATTCCAAACTTGCTGTCATTCTTCTGACAAAACCAAGGTGGGGCGGGTGGGTGATGTGGGTTATAAAAATGACAGCCAAAGGGACTGACCAAATTTCAGTTCCTCAAAGAAAATGAGACTTGTGAGGTTAACACTCCACAGCTATTATTATATTAATGAGAACCAGAAATTTCACACTAGGCTGGAAACCAATTTTTGGTATTCAAATGTCACAGTCTAAAAAGGCGTCATTTGGATGATGCTGGTTGGAAACGAAACCACAGTTTTCCCTAACCTCCACAGGGAAACAAAACGTGTTAGATGAATTTTCAGAGGTGTCCACTTTACTACCTTGGCAAATGAACCTCTCATTTTGCAGTAGGCAAACATGTAATTATTAGCAGGCACACATAAGTATATTTTTATTTTGCTTTTTTGAGGGGGAAAGGGAAGAGAATAGAGCTGAAAGTAAAGGCAGGAGGGAGTCTGAACAAAATATCTGTAACATGACAGTTGGATGAAACAATCTTGGCCTTTTATGGTCTCTAACAGAAATTGTGCCTAAAGGGCTCCTGATGGCCACTATCATGAACACCATGGACCAAACAATGCTGCTCAATTCTAGATGCTCATTCCTTATCACTGTGCATCTCCCTATGTAACCTTATTAATTTGATCTGGGCCTCCTAATATTTCATTTTTAAACTTTAGAGGAGTTAGGGAACGGGGTTCCTTCCTCTCACACTTAACCAGGGCCCAACTGGGTACCCTGACATGGAGAATGCAGAAGCTACAAAGAGCTCTAGCTAAATACATGCGTTGAATTACTGCTAGTATCCAAATGTTTCAAATAATTTTCAAATTTCTCGTTTGGGGCAGTTTGAAAAAAATGCCCTTAAACACAGATTTGGGACCCTCAATCGGTTCTGAATCAACTACTGTCTAATCTTAAACTGTAGCTTCTCCATTTCAGGCTAAGCAGAGCACCCAAAGTCCAGACAGCAGTGGTCAGTGGCTCACAATGATGCCTTCCCAACTCCCCCAGACACTGTTATGAGGCACCAAATGTATAGGGGAGGACCTAGGGTTTTGTCTTCTTTTTTCCTGACAGGGGAAAGGTAAAGAGAGAGGCAGGGACATGGCTGATGTCATTAAGGGCAGAGAAATTTGTGTGGGGAAAAAAAAGCAAGGTAGAAGGGGGCCGCAAAATGTCCTGGATGGCACAGGGAAGTGTGTATTCTCTGTGTGTGTGTGTGTGTGTGTGTGTGTGTGTGTAAACAAGTAGTCCAACTTTTCCAAACTAAGGTTTTTGTTTCAGGAACAGTGCAGAACATCAGTACGGTTATGCATTTTAAGTCTACTGGTTACAACAGACAACTTAGATTAACACCTGAACAATGCCAAGACAATTTGTTACGGCTTGGCCATAAGCTGGCATATACAGGTCTATACAATCAAGAGGATGCTTCCAAATGTCATTCATAGTTTCCAAATCTACGCAGACTCATTGGCAATGCAGTAAAAGTAGTTTTACATTCTGGAAACCATGGCATATCACAGTTTAGATTAAGCAAGGAGGCAATATTTACAAGTCCTAAGTTAGGGCTTAAGGAGCCAACTCACTAACATAGGTGATGATTTTGCAAAGTGCTATCGATTGCATGCCCTTTGCAAGCAGGGTACAGTAAAATGAGCTCTGGTTTCCAAAAGCTTATCTGTAAGGGTTTACAGGAACACAGTGCTTTGAAAGAATGTCCTAGACAAATGAAACATATTGAGAAAGAGACAAGGGCTATACAAATGAAAAGGCAGCATGCTCAGGATAAGCTCTGTTTGTTTGAAATCAGCACTGATGTTAGATCCTTAGTGGAAACTATTGTTCACGTTAAAAACTCTGAGTGGAAAACACAAACCTCATTTAACAGGGGAAAAAAATGTGCAAATTGCTTTCTTCTTAAACCAACAAAAATAACTGAGTAAGGAGACTATTCTAGCTAGCATTATAACATTCTGAACACAACAAAATAGACCATCTCCTTTCCAAAATCATCTAACAAGGCACTAAGGGTAGAAAATGACAGGTAATGTGAAAGTGATTGGATTATGATGCTTTAGTCGGGTCGGAATATGGGATACTTTGGTAGGAATTCTATTAGGATTACCTGCAAAACAACCAAAAAAGAACACAGTGAGAAAATTATTCCATTTAAACATTGACATCTATCCTCACTTGCTGTGGGAGCATACTTTGGACTCAGTAATAAACACAAGGCAAGCCCAAGTCTATTCAAAACAGTCTCTCACAAATAAGTTTGTCTCTAAAGAGTAAAATGATCGTCCCTTTAGGTTACATATGATACAATGGCAAGGCACATAGCTAAATCGTTCCCCCCACCTCTCCAGACCACAGTTTTCTCACCTGTAAAATGAGGGGGCTGGCTGAACTAGTCAGTTTCTCGGGCCCCTCACAAATCAAACCCTCTGTAATACTGTCAATACTAAAAGTCTTAATTGTCTAAGTAGATGTTTGTTTATATTCATCAAAACAACATCTTTAACATTATCGCTGCTCTTTTGGGGGGGCAGGCACTACAGAGGGGTTCAGTATCGACAGGAGAAAAACATGCTTTTTACAGGGAAGACTGGTTGGATGAATCTGAGTCGTTTCTTAAATGAAGACTCAAATGGACCGATCCCAAATCTGAACAGGAGATATGATATTCGACAAGGCAAGATACTCCACTGGGGAGCTGTTTATATCACAGCTGTGATCCTAGGTCTCATCCAACAGTGAATTTTGAATTTGTGATTGTGGGTGTTTTTTGGCTCAAAAGGGCTCGAAAGAGAGATTACAGAATTCTTAAGAGCTTGAAAGGAACTTCAGAGACCATTTAGCACAGGGATTTTTAACCTGAAGTGAGTAAACTTTTATTTTAATATTCCAAAAACTGTACTCTAATAGAATTGGTTTGCTTTGTGATCCCATGTATTTTATTTTTTGCATATAAAACCTGAATTCTGAGAAGGGGTCCACAGGCTTCCCAAGGGGACCATAGCAGAAAAAAGGTGTAAAATCCCTTCTAGTCCAACATCCGAATTCTACAGCAGAGGGAACTGGTGGGGCCCAGAGAAGTAAAACGTCCAAGGTGACAATAGCTAGCAACTGCAGAAAGGGCACCCAAACTCAGGGACTTCAGACTTTGGGGCTAGTGGTCCTTTTTTCTCCACCACACCTTTTCATAATTCAACTTGAAAGTCCTCATAAAAATAGATTTTTATTAAAACATCCACTGAAGGAAAGCAATTTGCTGTTCTGGACATAGGAAACATAATACTCCACATGTAGTTAAATGGCTCTTCTGTCTCTATGTAACTGACACTAGGGTTTCTCAGGTTGACCATATGTGGGGATCAGTGGTTTATGAATTAAGAACACTTAAGCCCATCTTCAAGTCAAAAACACAATTCACAATCTGTTTTCCTCTGCTTTCATCAAAGCTAGGTAGCCAGAAGAAGCCAGGGCCCCTTCCACAAAGACTCCAAGTCTGCCTGGTATTTTTCATGCATGTTTTCACAAGATGCCATTCCCAAATTCTGCATCATGCAGCAGCAGCTGTTGCCGTCACATCAACTTTGTTGCTATGGCCTGTGAATGTTTCACGAGTGGATTATTAAACTGGTACAACATTGTTTGTACCAGCAGAGACTTTTCTAAGGTATAACAACTGGTTGTAGATTTCAGGATAATTATGTTATTACCCATAACTCTAAAAAGAAGACTGATGTTTACAGTAAGCATACCAAAGTAAAAAGAAATGGGGGGAGTCAACAATAATATCTGCTGAATTATACATTTTAGAATGGATACCCTCAAAGTAATGAGAAAAAACCTATTTTTATACATACTTACACATTCCACCATGTTACTACTTTCACATTTCCTTTTACTCAACTTCCAGTGCAGACCAAGCTAGGCAAAGAAAATCCGTTAAAGGTGATGTCAGTTTCCTTCTGCAGAGATTTGGTCAGGTAACTTCTCTGCTCAAAACTCCTCAGGGGCTCCCTAGTCCTTCCTAAGGAAAGAGAAAACTCCTCTGCCCAGCTCACAGGGTCCTCCATAATCTGGCATTCTACCTGGCCATCCTTAACTCATTCTACTCCCCTCCTTACGCTCTCCATCCCTACTGCAATGAGTTACTGGCCCCACCCTCTCCTGACTCTACAGCTGTGCTCTTGTCCCCTGTGGTCCCACCACCCAAATAAACCACTGGCTTCCTCCCCGTCCATTCCAACACCACTCGAATGGCCTCCCTTCTAGTCAATCGAGAAACGTTTGTTAAGCATTTGCCACATTCCAGGCCCTGGGCTAAACACTGAGGTTAAGAAAGGCAAAAAGCCACAGGCCCTTGGCATCAAAGAGCTCAGAGTCCAGTGGAGGAGGCCATACACAAACAGCCATGTACATAACAAGATAAATACAGTGTGCTTAGAGGGAAGGCACTAGTAGTGGGGAGGAGTGGAAAAGGCTGACTGTAAAGGTGGGACTGGAGAGGCAGAAGTGAGGAGGAGACCGTTCCAGTGTGGGGGGCAGCCAGAACAAACACACAAAGGGAAGAGACGAAACGTCGTGTTTGAGGAATGGCAAGGCCAGTGTAGCTGGACTACACAGTGCACAGAGGAGAGGAAAGGATAAGAAAACTGGAAAGGTAGCAAGGGGCCAGGTTGTGAAGCGCTTTGAGTATCAAATGGAGGTAAGAGGAAGCCACTGGAATCTGGGGGGGGGGAGAAGGGTTCACATGATCAAACCTATGCTTTAGGTTTGATCACTTTGGCAACTAAGTGAACTGGAATGGAGAGAAACCTGAGGCAGGGAACCCAATTATGGGGTTACTGAAACAGTCCAGGTGAGTTCGATAACATTCTAATGGGGGAAACAACAGGAGTAGAGAGCTTACATGGTGAGACCTATATTTTAGGAAAGCTGAGGGAAAGATGGAATGGAATGGGAAGAAATCTGAGGCAGGAAGATCAAATAGAGGCTATTGCAATTGTCTAGGCACAAGGTGATACAAGCATGCACCGATGTGATAGCTGTGTGAGTGGAGAGAATGGGACATATGGAAGAAAAATTGTGACTGTAGAAACAAGACTGAAAACAGACTGGCTATGTGGGGCAGCACTTGGAGACTCAAGACCAGAGATTATGAAAGAGAACAGGGCTGGACAGAAAAGTGGACAGACTTGGAAAGACTTGTAGGGTCTGATGCTGAGTGAAGTGAGCAGAACCAGGAGAACATTGTACACAGTAACAGCCATGTTGTGAGATGACTAATATTGATAGACTTGGCCCTTCTCAGCAATGCAAGGATCTAAAACATCTTCAAAGGCCTCATGATGGAAAATGCTATCCACATCCAAAGAAAGAACTATGGAGTTTGAATGCAGATTGAAGCATACTGTTTGCTATTTTTTTTTCTTCTGTTGTGTTTTGTTTCCTCTTTCTGGTGGTTCCTCCTATTGGTTCTAACTTTTTACTTACAACATCACTAATATGAAAATATGTTTAATAGGAATGTATATGTATAACCTATATCAGAGGCTTGGGAAGGGTGGTGGGGAGGAAGGGGGAGAAAAATTTTAAACTCAAAAGCATATGGAAGTGATTGTTGATAAATCAAAATAAATTAATTAAAAAAAAGAAAAAATAAGAAAAAAAAAGAAACGTGGACAGAGAGCTGGGCCTGGAGTCAGGAAGACCTGAGTTCAAATACAGCCTTAGACACTAGCTCTGTGTCACCTTTTTTGTGGCATGGATCTTGTCTGGCAAAATCTATGGACTTCTCTTCAGAATAATGTATTCAAATGCATAAAGTAAAATACAGGATTTTACAAAGGAAACCAATTGTAATGAAATACTGTTATCACAATATTTTAAAAAAAACCATGTAGTGGACACAGTCAGCATAGATTTGGGATTTTCTTCAGCTCTATTAGCAGCATGTAGGTAGAAATGAAGGAGGCAGATGGTGAGAGTAATCCAATATTGGGGTTTGGAAAGGTGTGATCAGCAACAGGACAAGGGAGAAAGAGATTCAAGTGTGGAGGATATTGTAAAGTGGAACTGAATTTACCAAGAGGTCAAGATAGGAAAAAGAGAAGAGTGTAGACGGTGCAGGCTGAGGGAAGGAGTGGCAAGAGGTCATGGTGAGGCTGAAGAACAGAGTTAGAGGTTAAAAGGCTGAAAGAAAGGTGGAATGACAAGAGATTATAATCAAAGAAGGGAATTTCAGAGTTTATGAACATGGAAGTGGAATATTTGAGGGTGATGGCAACACCATCCCTGAGTATAGATGAGGCGGCTGGGAGGTAACGATTTTGCAAAATACAGGGCAACACCAGTGCAGTTAAGTTGCAAGTCCTTTACAAACAGGTTTGAGTAAAAATATATCTAATTACCAAAAGCTTATTTGAATGGAACCAGTAAGGGTTTACAGGAAAGTGATGCTTTGGCTAAAAATCCCATTCAACATTTCTTACCTTGTGGTATAATCTGTTATTTTCCCATTCCAACAACTTCTGAATTGATCTTCTTGTCTACAGGAGGAGGGAGAGAGAGGAAAAAAGAGCCAATAGCTTTTTAGAATATAGTTTACATACATTTTAATCTACCTAGGAAACCGTATTATTTAATGTTTTCTATCTATAAGAACCCATTACCTCCCATTACCCATCATCCCTTCCCCCTCCCATACTTTCTAAGTCAGGAAAATGATAACTCTAACACAGGCTAAAATAGTTGGTGCTATTGGAAAGATCAGATTTCCATGAAAGAGCTCTGTGCTACCTTCTCAAAAAGAAATGCATCCAAATGAGTCAATCATGAACTCAAATGCACTCACTTAGTTCTTGAGACAATCAAAAACTTAACCAAGTGTTTCAAGCTTGACAAACAAATCTTTAAAAAAAAGAACCAATCCAAGATGATTATCTATGTATCTTTGAACATGGCTACATCTCTAATGGGTACATAACATGCCAAGCTAACCAGTTTTCCTCTAGAAGGGATTCCTACCTGAGAAGGAGCACAATGCCAAGGCTATGATGCCTAAGGATATCCGTGGAAAGGAGTGGGCGAAATACAGCCACCGGGAAACTAACAGTGAGAGGGAAAGACATGAACGATGGAAAGAATGGTCTGTGGCGGATGAGGGAATTCACTGAATTTCCATTTAGGAAAATGGAGAGATTTGGCGAGAGTGCTAGAATTTAAAAAAAAAAAAAGGATCACAGAAACTCCTAATTGGGAGGGACCTCGGGGGCCATCGAGTCCAACAAAGAAAAAACTTGACAAAGAATCCCCTCTGCACTAAATCCACCTCCAAAGCCCCTGACATCATTCCCTCCTCTCTCCTTCTTTAGCTCAGTATGGCAAAGAGGAGAACTTGCCTGTTCAATCATTCTCTCATATTCTCATTCTCTCTCTCTCTCTCTCTCTCTCTCGCCACTGCCTATAGACATGCTCAGGTCCCCCCAACCTGAAAAAGCCTTCACTTGGCCCTATCATCCCCTCAAGTTGACCTCTCCTCCAGAACAAACTCCACACTTCCTCTTCCTCTCCTTCTACTCACTTCTAAACCCTCGACAGTCTGGCTTCTGGCTTCAGCATCCAAGGTTACCAAGGACATCTTCATTACTAAACCTGATGGTCTTTTCTTAGTCTTGTGCCTTCATGACTTCTCTGCAGCACTTAACATTAGAGGCCACTCTTTCCACCAGGCCACTCCCTTTGCTCTTGGAGGTTTTCAACAGTGCTCTCTCTCTTCAGTCTCCTCCTTTCTGGTCATTCCTTCTTGGTCAGTCTCCTTTGCTGGAACGCCATCCTCCTCCTGCCCACTGTAGACGTCCCCCAAGGCTCTCTTCTGGGGCCTCTTCTTCTATACCCTTTCTCTTGGTGATTTCCTAGGGTCCCTGTGGGCTCAATAATCATGCCTATGGTGGATGATTCCCAGATCTATATAGTTAGTCCCAGTCTCTGTCCTGAACTGCAGACTCCTATTACCAACTATCAGATAGCTACAAGTAGATGTCCCGTAGACATCCCAAACTTGACACATGTACAGACTTCCCTACTTCTGTCGAGGGCACCACCATCCTTTCAGTTACCCAGGTTTGCAACCTAAGAACCGTCTCTGCCTCTTCATCCCATCTCACGACCTCAACCCTAGCCAATCAGTTGTCATCTTAGTAATTCGACCTTCAGCACATCGTTCACACCCACCCATACCACAAGCACCCCAGTTCAGGCCTTCCTTACTTCTCATCTGGACTGCTGTACTAGCTTCTTCCTTGGTCTCCCTCTATTGACACTCTCCCCTCTCTGATCTCTCTTCCACCCAGCTCCCAAAGTGCTATTTCTAAAGCAGACGTGTGCCTCTGTCACTCCCCCAGTAAAGAAGCTCTGGAAACTCCTCATTGTCTCTAGCATAAACTACAAACTGTTTTCTGGGGCCCTTCAAACCTTTCTCAGTTTGACTGCCAACAACTTTTCATAATTTCACATCACTTCCACTCCAGCAGTACTGAGCCCCAGCCCTGCTAACCTGCCTGCTCCTTCCTCTACTGGCTCTGGTGGGCCACAGTGTCATGCCTCTTTGCCTGCCCCTCTCACAAGCCCCAGCTTTCTAGCTCAGCCATAGCATCGCTTCCTCCAGGAGGCCTTTCTTGAGCTCCCCAGTTGTGAGCCATCTGCCCGCCAACATAACTTGGTACTGATGTGGCATCTATTTTAAACTGACTTATATACTCTTTATCTCTAACTGAATGTAAATTTCTTGAGGACAGGGGCTCTCTCAATTTCATCCCTGTACCCCCAGTGCTTGGCACAAAGCAGATACTTAATAAATATTGGTTGGATGAATATGTTAACAAACCCTGAAATCTTGAAAGAAGTAATAGCTCCCATTTCCCAATTTACTTACAAAATCACAGATGAGCAAAGAGAGGTTTCAGGAAGTGAAGTGACTTATACTCCATATCACCATCCTCTATATGCCCAAGGTTTCTGATGACAGGTGTGAGCTGGCTCTGACAACCAAAACATCCCCCCAAAACAGAGTATGTGGGGCCTAACCCTCCAAAACCCTTTGTCTGAGGCTCCATCCTGACTCCAAGTACCCTGGCTCACTTCTGCTCTGTCAGAGGAGTGCCAGTGCCAGCCAGGCACTGGGCTGGGGGTGGAGGTGGTGTGGCCTGCTCCTGATTATCTCTTCCAGTCTAAACCAGTGAGGGAACACCAACAGACAAAGGCAGGTCTGTGCCAGCTGTGTATGGGTAGGGGAATCTCCCAGAGGCAATCTAGCTGGAGTCAACTCATGTGGGATTCAGAGTTACTGGTGGCATGGGACAAAGAGCCCCGTAAGGAAGAATGCCTGGCTTTGGATGGCAACCTTGACACTTAGCAAGTCAGTGACCTGTCTGAGGGGCATCTAGGTGGTGCAGTGGACACAGCGCTGAACCTGGAGTCAGGAAGTCTCATCTTCCTGAGTTCAAATCTGACTGCAGACACTTCCTAGCTGTGTGACCCTGTGACCCTGGGCAAGTCACTCGACCCTGTTTGCCTCAGTTTCTTCAACTGTCAAACGAGCTGGAGAAGGAAATGGCAGACCAAAGTCTTTGCCAAGAAAACCCCAAATGGGGTCATAAAGAGTCAGATACAACTAAATCAAATGAATGACAACACCCCAGGGAAGGTTATGTGGAAGGTTGTCTGGCTCTTGTTATACTATATAAACACAGCAACAGTTCTAAGCCCAGCAAAGGGACAGACAATTTATTCCTTCAGTCACTTGATGGCTATTTATTATGTGCAGGGAACTATGCTCAAAGCTGGGGGATATCGAGATTAATAATGAAGAGGTATTTCATGGAGCTAACCCAGGGAGGGGGAGACTGGATGAGAAAGGCTGGCGAAGGAAACTAGGATGACAAGAGTCTCTGGGTTTGTTTTTGGTCTGGACCTGTGCTTCATCCAGGCAGGGAACTTTGGGTGTGGAAATTCCCTCCACCAGTACAAATGAGTAACTCTCTTATAAGCCAGGCAACTGCCTAGAGCATGGAGAATGAAGGGACCTGTCACCTAAGACGTTTGTGGCAGAGGGAGGAAATGGCCTCACTGGCCATTGTCCCCCCTCCCCCTGCCCCAGTCTGACCTTCTTTCTCTCCTTCACTTGTGATGCTCCAGCCAGCATTTCCAAGCACTCCCTCCCTCTCTCCTTACCTCAGGCTCACTGAGTCCCTGTCTTTCTTTAAGGTGTTGCTTAAGGACCATCTTCTATATGAAGTCATTCCTGAGCCTTCCAACTCTTCACAGTCTTCCCTCCCAAACCGCCTTGGATTCAAATGCTCTGTGTGTGCACAGGTGCATATGTGTGGAGATACACATTAACTTTATATCTTCGTTGTATATATACTTATATTATTTAAGTATCTATATATATGTGTGTATATACACACACACACACACACACGCTCCTTGTGAGAGAACAAATTGTTTCCTTCTTTGTCCCTGTATTCTTGGCAGCCAGCACACAGTAGGTGCTTATTAAGTACTTGATGACTGATGGAGTAGAGATTCCATGACTGCAGCCCTTTATTCACTAGGTCAGGTCGCCTCTCATCAGTACAAAAGGTACTGGCACTAAGTTTCTAGTCTTTGACTATCTCTGCCCAAAAGGATGAAATGTACTCTGTAAGGCATGACTGCAGGGCCACACCATGTTACGACTGTCTACTTAACTCCAAGCAGAACCACTTGTCTCTCATTTTAAAGACTGAAATGGAAAGTGGGGGCTCTGAGGTTATCCACGCACTAAAAAGTTATGACCTTTTGTTTCTGTATAGCTGATGCTAGGGGGGTTTTTCCCTTTCTTTTTGGAATTCAAACATGCAAACAGAACCAGAGCTAGACTAGCCTGTCTATACTTTAACAGTCAATTTCCTCCATCTGCATGTGTACACACACACACACATCCATTCTCTCTGTCAGTCTCTCTCTCTATCTCTCTCTTTCTCTCCTTCTATCCCTCCCTCCCTCTCTAAAACTTAGTCATGATAAATGAAGACAAGTTAAGAATAGGTGACGTGACTAGGTCTAGAAACAGATCTACAATCACAATTGTTCTTTTGAGTAATCTAAAATGTCTGAATTCAGGCAATAATCACAGGCTAATTGACTCAGAGCTGGAAGGACCCTTACAGACCATGCAGTCCAAACCCCTCACTGTGCAGATAAGGAAACTAAGAGGACAAGGGAATTGGCAAACGTCAGCCAGGCAGTCTGTGGAGGAGCCAGAATTCTCGGCAAAATCCTCAGACTTCCAATCTCGTGCCCTTTCCAAGGCATCATGCTGCCTCAGATTGTAGATTTATGAAAAGGCCCAGCCCAGGCTTGCTGCCAGTCGAGAAAGCTAGCAACAGACTTTCAGCAGGAGCCACATATTAAAGGGGAGTCGCGTCCTTAATAAAATCTTAGTTACTCAATACAAGAAATTCATTTATGCATGTTAATGAACAAAAGCAATAGCATATATGATCCTAAGAGCCTTTCTATTTGAAATCACTAAGTACTTAAGTTCATGTATTAGGACATTTATGCTGCAGGTTAAGAGAGAAGGCCCAAGTATGTTTAACTTGGACTACCATTGGTAGAAAGTAGGGAGCAATGGGCAAAGTTTTAGAAAGCCCCAGGGAGTCAGTGTGTTTATCCTTCTGCCACAGCCTAGGAATTGTGATTCCTGCCCAAAGAGCAGCTGGATCTCAGGGACAATGGAATATTCTTTTAAGAAACTAAAGAGCTTCAAAGTGAAAACCAAGAAAAAGGCTCTGAAGTGTCCGAAGGCTGGAGCGTAAAAGAATATGACATAGAGAAGGAGGGAAAGAGGTCTACAGAACACCAGGAGACTGGCAAAAGAGCCCCCGCTTTTCCCCAAGGGAGTCTGGGTGGAAGTGGCTACTTGTCCTTCAAGGAGAGATGCTGTGGAGCTCAGCTGAAAGCTCTCCCACAAAGGGCCAGGGGAGAAAGAACTAAGCAATGGTGGTCGGTGATTCTCTGCTTATCTGATGAGAGAGAGATTTCTCTTCCTGGGGTGTGCATCCAGAACAGAAGCGAGTCTCCAAAGTTTGTTAAAACAGATGACTACTACTACCCATTCCTGGCAATTAGACGGGGAGGTATATACAAGGAGGTGTGGCACAGCTGGCCTCGAAGTCAGGAAGGCCTGGGTTCAAGTCCCTCTTGTGACACACACTAGCTAAGTAACCCCTCAGGGCATTAGGTGCCACTGTGAGATTCTAAGTGGCAGAGAAAGTGCCAAGCTGCATTGGTAGAGAAAGCTTCCTATACCAATGACATTCCTTGCCCTCTGGAAGACAGGCTCAGAGCAGGGCTAGGACCAAGAAAAGGCTCCATTCTTATGTGGACACTTTTCTCTGTCAAGAACGATTTTTGGATTGGAGAGGACAAGAAAACAATGGCGAGTCAAGAGATGAAGGCCAAGCTACGTAAGAAAAGAATAAGTGAACATGTCTCTTGTCAGCAGGCCATACCCTGGGAGTAAGTCTCAGAGCACTGAAAGAACCAAACAACATGACTGCTAAGTCACTCTTCTTGTGGTTGCTGTCTAGTCGTTTCAGTCAGGCCCAACTCTCCATGACCCCATTTGGGGTTTTCTTGGAAGGGATAATGGAGTGGCTTTCCATTTCTTTCTACAGCTCATTTCACAGATGAGGAAACTGAGGCAAAAAAGATGAAGTGACTGCCCAGGATCATACAGCTAGGAATGTCTGAGGCCGGATTTGAACTCATGAAGAGGTCTTCCTGACTCCAGGCCCCACACTTTATCCACTGAGCCACCTAGCTGCCCTAAGCCATTCTCACAGATCTAGAAACCATCATGGAGAACAGCAGAGGGATCACAGACCTGGGAAAGGGTACATATTTCCCAATTTTTAGAAAACAGAATAGACTGAATTCAGCAAACCAAAGTAGGTAAATTTGACTTCACTTTCTAGCTGTCTGCCATCTGTGTGATCATGGCCAAGTCATTTCCCCTCTGGGCCTGATTTTTTTCATCTGGAAAAGGGGATGGGGGCAGCTAGGTGGCGCAGTGGATAGAGCACCAGCCCTGGAGTCAGGAGGACCTGAGTTCAAATCTGGCCTCAAACACTTGACACTTAATGAGCTGTGTGACCCTAGGCATGTCACTTAACCCTGATTGCCTCACCAAAAATAAAAAAAAAAAGGGGTGGGGATGAGAATGGTTGATCTCTAAGGACTCTTCCAGGTCTAAACCCCTTTGATTGCACCTAGGATTAAAAACTCTTTAACTGAGCATTTCAAACCCTCTACCATCTGACTCCAACATACCGTGAGTAACTTACTTCCTATTATTTCCCTTCCACACTCTGACATTATAGTTAAACTAGCCCAGGGGTGGGGAACCTGAGGCTACGTGTGGCCACATGTGGCCTCAAGGCCACAGGCTCCCCACCCCTGAACTAAGCCTATCTCCCCAGGCCACATTCCATTCCTTCACCTTGGGCCCACACTTTGGCCACGTCTGGAGTACACTCACTCCTTGCTTCCACCTCAGGGCTCAGCTGGGGTGCCACCTCCTAGGGGAGGCCTTCCCCAACGGCCCCCAGCTGTTAGTGTTCTCTTCCTCTTGGCATTATTTTGTATTTATGTTTCTGTGCACATCTGACATCCCCTAGTAGACTGGAATCTCCCTGAAGGCAGAGGCTAGTTCATTTGTCTTTGGATCCCCAGTGCCCAGTACAGAATAGAAACTTGATAAATGTTTGTTCACTTGTTTTGAATAACTGCAGAGACTGATAACTCACAGAAGCCCTACTGAGTCTCAGACTGGTGGGAGAGTGCTTTAGGGAAACCACAGCTGTGTCCAAGGAATGACTGTACTGCTTATTCCCTTTGGGTTTAAAAAATGAGGGGCAAGAGGGCCCCAAAGGTAGACACATACCTCTGCTGTAACAAGTTGTACTCACTCTTTTGTTAAGACAAACCACAGGCCACAGGCTGCACCCCAGGGTGCAGCAGCAACACAGGCATCCACACAGCAGCCACTTAATGCTGACCGGAAGGTTCTTCTGTAAGCATCCGTTCACACGGCCAATACTGGTCTTGAATTCTTCTGGGGCCACCTGCAAGAGAAGCAAAGCTCTTGAGTGATTTGCACTGGAAGGCTCAGCACGATTATTTTAATCACATGCAAAACAAATGTGTCTAGTGTCCTCTTCCATCTCCCATATAATTACAAACAAGATGCTTAGAGGATGTTAAAAAGTAAAAGGATCTAAGGCCATTTCCACAGAAGTTAGTCAACTCTTCCAATAATGGAGGAATGAAAAGCAAGCCAGCAGAAGAAAAGTAACCATTAGTGATATTTATAGTAAACAATAATATTAAATAACCCCCTTCAGATCCCAGGAAATGGGCACATATGCCTGTTTTCTTACCATTTGTCCACACAAATAAGAATCTTTTTTTGCAGCATTCATTGATTCTAATTCAATATGCCAGACACTGCCAAAGGAACAGGAGTAATAACTGAAAAAAAAATCAAGCTTTTGGTGGTCTCTCAAAATTCAGGGGGAGAGGCAGTCTGACAGAAAGGAAAGAAAACTGAACCTGAGATTAAGACTGGGCTCAAAGCTTCACTCTATTACTGAACAGGGAATGCTGAGGCCCAACCACAGGGCCAGAGGGTTACATATTCCAAGCTGGAAAAGACCTCAAATGTGAAGTCCAGCAACCTCTTCATTTTGCAGAGGTGGAAACTGAGGCATGTTACCTCTTTTCAAACTGAAAGGTGAACGTGTTTAAAGGCCAGAACACAGACATCACTGATAAATATTAAACTACAGGCAAAATTTTCTGTGGGAACCTAACAAAGCTTACAGTACCCTATAAACAGCTGTCAATTTTCTCATCTCTAAAATGTAGATTACAGTTACCTGCCTACCTCTTAGGGTTGTTTTGATAATCAAATGAGATTAATTCAGAAGAATACAGTGCCTTGTAAAATGTGTTACATAGATTCTGGCTAGAATTATTATTAGTGTTGTTCATAAGCTGTCTCAAAAACAAGGTGCTCCTAGGAAACATTTTCTCCCCCCAGAAAACCTTTGACATGCCAAGCAAACAGTGCCGAGCATTTGCCGAGGATTAAATTCATGCATGTTTTGTTAATATGTAACATGAGAAGCTGCTGCTTTGGGTCTGGATAGGAGCAGAGTGGTAAAGGATACTGAATCCAGAACTCGGGGAACCAGGTTTGAAGGCTGGCCAAATGAACCTGTTACCTGCCCTCTGTGGGCCTCAGTTTCCTCTCCTGTAAAATGAGTGGGTTAGACTAGATCTAAGAGCTACAGCTTATGAACCACAAAATGGTTTCAAATTCCTGGGCCTCAAATTTCTCTAATCATTCTTTCTCCTCTTCCCTTCTTGCAAATAACCTCTGGGGTCTCACCACTGAAAATAACAGAAGCAATTCAAAAGTGGTAGGTACTACAGGTTTCATTAGATTTGCATGGAAAATGTAACCTCACATTTATGCAAGTTAGTGGTATGCTGAAAGCCATGCACCTCAAAGTGAAATCTTTATTCCGGACTTGAGAACCAATTCCCTTTCAGGGTCAACTTGTCCGTCTTTGTGAGTTTGGGGCCCAAAAAATCCCATGCCAAGCTGTGAAATGAACAAGTGGTGAAATGATGCCTTTGGAAAAGGAAAGGCACAAAAATACATACAAATCAAAAAAGGTAATTTTGGCATCAAAAGGGATTTACTGGCCTTCAAAACACTGTCACACCACTTGCTCCATTTCCATCATTAAGCATCAAGATTTTGGGCCCAGTATGAATCAAGAGGATGGCAGAGGCAGATAATTGCCATAGAACCCAGTGCCATCATTTGCTGTTGTGGGGCAATCTAGGATATTAAGTATATAAATAATCAGACACATCTTCGACTAGTTCATAATAACCAATTTGCTTAATTGCTTTGACTATAATTTGGCACACTGCCCATTGAATCAACTGCCTACTGTTGTGACAGGTAAGAGCTTGAAGCTTTATTTGCAGAGGAAATTTCAAAAGAGAGATATCCTTAGGATTTTCAGCAACATTTGCAGAGCTAAATGTCTTAACAACATTTAGTTTAAATGTCCATTAAAAAAATAAGGTTTGGGGGCTGCTAGGTGGCGAAGTGGATAGAGCACCAGCTCTGGAATCAGGAGGACTTGAGCTCAAATCCAGCCTGAGACACTTACTAGCTAGCTATGTGACCCTGGGCAAGTCACTTAACCCCCATTGCCTCCAAAATAAATTTTTAAAAAAGGTTCATGAAAGTACAAATTTTTTTATATGACACAAAATCTAAAATTGTTTATACATACACACACACAAAGACACAATTTAATTTATACAAGTGATAGACCAGCTGAAGACCTGTAATCTAATATAAATTGGAACCAGCTTGCAGTGATTTTAACACTCTAGGTACTAATTAGCAAGTACAGTCAAAATCTAAGATAAAACCAATCTTGGTAACATTTTTATTTTAAGTAATATTATGGTGATCAGAAAACACTCTACTTACTTGAATTGTACTTACTTAAAAAGAGCTGTGCTTTCAATGGTGTGGATACTTCTGCCATGCCTTCGACTCTGGTCTTCATGAATTTCCCCCCACCCCACCCATCTCGCTCTCCAGGGGGAAGCCATCCCCTGATGAGCAGCCTCTGCTGCTGGGCATCTCCAACCTTTGGCTGGCCAAGCAACCCATTCCCCAGGCTTTCTACTTTTCTCCCTTGTCAGAATACAATCAAGTCTATGCTCTGTCAGCACAGCTTTTAGGAACCCAGACAGTCATGATGAGACTTAGATTGCATCATGTGTTTTCAGTTTGTTGTAAGGCAAAATACACTGACAGTCTCCAAGAAAGAAAATGGATTTACACAGCTTGAAGAAGAAAATGTTTAGAGGGTATTTAATATTTCAAGTACATAAAAAGGTCTTCTCTATGTGGGAAGCACGACTGTCACAAGGGGAAAGCAGTGGACTAGGGAGGAGTCAAAAGATCTGCATTGTCATCCTCAACCTATCATTAACTAGCTGGGTGACTATGGGCAAATCACTTCATTATTCCAAGATTCACTTTAAGAAACAAGAGTCTCTGAAGTAAGTATCTGAGCATCCATCTTATCTACCCTAGAGGAGTGAGAAAACCCAACAGTTAGGTATGGGAAAAGTGTTTTGCAGGGCACAAAATGATAGAAACATCGAGGCTTCCAACCACTCTTCTCTCCTGAGAAGAGAACAAAAAAGGGATGAGCTTCCATTACAGCCTGCTGGATTAGGAGCTGGATGGTAGGAAGACTGCGAAGTCTCTCTGTAGACGGTCAAGGGAAGGAAAAGCGAGGTTATCCTCTGGGTGTGGTTTGCATCCAGTCTCACCTGGAAGCAAACAAATGGCAATCCACTGTGTGGCAAGGTGAATAGAGCACTCAACTTGGAATCAGGAAGAGCTATGCTTGAATCCTACCTCTAATATTTATTAACTATGTGACCATGGGCAAGTCACTTCAATTCTTTTGAGTCTCCATTTCTTCATCTGTAAAATGGGAATAATGAATACCTAAAGCATTGATATTATAGAGTTTTGTGAGGTTCGAATGAGATAACATACAAAGTACTTTATAAACTTTAAAGGACTTCATTAACAATGGGTTTAAAAGGAGCTAGATAAATGTAATCTAGGTCTAGGCTGAGTAAAGGGGGAAAGGATTGAGATTAGACAGTTCAGATTATTAGGATTGATTTTACTCTCTTTCTTTCCCCATTTTTTTTCCTTTTAAAGAAAAGGCACGGGGGACAAAGAGAGGAAAGAATGGAATACATAACAGGGAGGGAAAAACAAACCTAACAATCATATCTGTGAATATGAATGCAACAAACTAGTCCATAAAACAGAAAGTAGAAACATGTTATTTATAAAGAAACACATTTACAACATAAAGAGTCACAAGGAGTAAAAATGAGGGGTTGGCCTAGAATCTATTATATCACTACTGAATCCAAAAAAGCAGAGGCGGCTACCAGCATCTCAAACAAGGCTACAGTAAAAACAGATGTAGTTAAATGAGATAAACAGAAAAGATGCTACATTACACTTAAAGGCATCACAGATTATGAAACAACATCAATACTAAATATACATGCACCAGGCGGCATAGCGTTTAAGTTCTCAAAGGAAAAGTCAACTTAATTACAGGAAGAAATAGACAACAAAATAATTGTTGGAGGATTTCGCTGTGTCCCCTTTCAGATCTATAAAAATCTAATAAACAAGAAGTTAAGGGACCTAAATCAATAGAATTTTCAAAAAATTAAATATGCTAGGTTACTGAATGGGAATCATAAGGAAAATGCCAATTTCTGGGCTCTGCATGGTACCTTCATAAAACCAGACCATATACTCAGATACAAATAACTCATAACAAATGAAGAAAAATTAAATGTCCTTTACAGGCTAAAGTGAAAAAAAAAATTAAATGAAGATCAATAAGGGGAATCTGAAGAAATGAGTCAGACTTATACGTAAACTAAATAATATAATCCTACAGAATGAGTGGAACAAAGAACAATAAACATAAAAAGAAACAAATAATTTCATCAAAGAAAATAATAATGAGACAACATACAAAAACTTTTGGGATGCAGCCAAAGCAGTCCTTAAGGAAAAATTTTTACCTCTAAACATTTTCATCAACAAAAGAAAGAAGTCTCTTAAGTTAGCTTGCAATTAATGTTTTTAAAACCTAAAAAATATCAACAAATTATAACACTTTGAATAAAGAGAAAAACAGAAACTCTGGAAATCAAGGAAGAGAGAAACAAAATTGAAAAAAAAATTATTGTATTGATAAATAAAGCTAAGGGAATGTTTTTTTCCTAAAACAATAATAAACTCTTAGCTAATTTGATTTTTTAAACCATAGAACACTATAAATGTCAGTTAATATCATCATCAAGAAACTGACATAATCCTTTTTACAATGAGAAACACATATTAAAACTATGCTGGGCTACGTTATAGTTAATTCTTGACTTTTCAGGGATAATAACATAATTGAAAATAATATTTGAGACCATGAATACAAAGCAATAGTTCTAATAATAAAGATACCTCATATTTCTACAACATTTTAAGGTTTATAAGCATATGTTCACAACAGTCCTGTGAGGTCAGAAGTAGAAGTATCATCTCTATCTGAAAGATAAAAAAACTAAGGCTCACAGAGTAGAAGTAACTTGTCCAAGGTTCACAACCTAGAAGTACTGAAATAGGTATCTAAACCCCGGCACTTTTTTTCCCTACACTGCTACTCAAAGCAAATAGAAACAGAAATGTGGTAGAAAGGATGAATGCTGAAATCTGGAGTCAAAAGATTTAGGTTCAAATCCTAGCTAATTAAAAGTTATTTTCTTTCTCATGAACTCTATACTCTAGTAGAGACCATCTGCCATTCCCATATACGGTATTCCACCCCTTTGCACAGGTTGTCCCTGGGACAGAAGGGAATGTTCTTCCCCTCCTCACCTTCACCTCTTGAAACCTGGAGCTCCCTTAAAAGCTCCACCCAAGTGTATCTTCCTACAAGAAGCCTGCCCTATTTTCCCCAGTTGTTTACAGCACCCCCTTTTCTCATGAAAATTTCTTTCTGTCTCAATAGAGATAGCTACAGATAGAAATGAAGATATCTATTCACCAGTTTATCTGGGAAGACTTGTATCCTTGCAGAAGAATGTAAGGTCCTTAAAGGCAGGGACTCATTTTTGGCACACAATAGATGCCTAATAAATGCTTGCTGAATGAATGAAATGAAAACAAAAGTGTATACAGAGGAGGTCAATGCTGGAGACAAGCCAACTGTGAGGGGATGGAGAAATCAATTCCCAAGGTATGTGAAGGCAGGGAAGAAGCCAAAAGCATAGGGAAAAAATCTCACATATTATTTAAAGGCAACTGACAGAACATTACTAACTGCTGACCCATGTAGCTATTTCCAATCTATATAAAATTTTTATAAGAATAGTGTCCACATTTGAAAGCTAGAACTAGAAGGGATTGGGCAGGTTGTTGCTAGGCATGAGACACAGCAAACAACATCTACTGTCACACAACTGACTAAAAGAGGTATAGAATGCAAGATCTCAAGATCCCACTGTGTTTATTGTTTGCTGGCTACAAGAAAGCTCTTGATTCAGCACAGCAAAGCCACCTTAGAGCTCGGATCTCCTCCAATCATGCGTCTCCCAAGAAGATGCCAAAATGATGCAAGATTCCTTCAAAGTTATAACAAAAGAGAAAGTTTTGCTGATCTAAAGGTGATTTTTGTTTTAAGTGAAAAATGAAAGAGGAAAATAGATAAATTAAGTTCAAAACACTCTCTCTGAGTCTATCTGACTAGATTCTCAAGAAGAAGCACGGTGAAGGCACAAAGTCGTGAGACTGAAGTCGGGGTGCTGTGATTTAAATCCTTGTACTCTTACTTTCTACATAGATACCCATAATGCCTCTCTGAGCATTTGTTTCTCCATCTGTAAAATGAAGAAGATGGACTAGCTGATCTCTCAGGTTCCTTTTAACTCTGAATTCTATGAATTAGGCTTTCAGATTGAGTGTCCTTCGAAAATAACAGATACATCACTTCAGGTTTGGGGGTGGGAATGAGACTGGGATATGGATAGTACGGCATGACATCATAGTAAAAAGAAGCCACTAATATCAGCAGACAAACTTGATCCCCAGAGGCCTCCATGTGCTACTGAGTCAGAAGGAACTAAGAATTCAAAGGGACAGGAAATGGCCTAAAGCAGCAGCTCCAACCTTGGCTTCTCTATATGTCAGATTGTCTACAATTTTCTCTGAGGAGCTATTATAACAATCTCAAAACAATGTTTTAATACACATTAATTTACAATATAAATATATGCCATAAAAAACTTTCAGGAGGAAGGAAGACCAGTGCAAAGCCAACATTTCTGTAGCCCTTTAAGGTTTACACGGCACTTTCTGCACACATGCACCCTGCAAGGTAAGATCCTATCAATCATGTAATTTAGTCCTGGAAGGAGTCTGGTGAGCAACCTGGTTCAACAAGCAAGGGTTATTAATTCCTTTTTACGGTGGAGGAAACTGAGGCTCAGACAAATTGTTCCTTGCCTTCACAGTGTTAGCCCTAGAATTTAAGACCAATTCTCCTGAGTCCCAGCAGTCCAATGCTCTTTCTACTATACAGCACCCCTAATTAGGTGCAAAAACAATAACTGACATTTATATGGTGATCTAAGGTTTGCAAAGCACTTTCCATACATCATCTCATATGAATCTTCCAACAACCTTATGAGTTAGGTGCTAACGTCAGTTCCATTTGACAGATGAGGAAACTGAGGCTCAGATAAGTTAAGGGACTTGCTCATGGTCCCACAGCTACTACGTGTCCAAGGCAGGATTCAAACCTAGATTTCTCTCCATTACAGGTCAGCACAGCTATCTAGTATATCCACTACTAAAAAAAAAAAAAAAAAAAAAACAGATTAGCTCAGAGCATGGAACTACATGAGGGAAAGGGGAGGAGGGTCTGGTCATATGATAAGGTTCTACAGATAAAGAAATGATGGCTGTAGAAAGGAAGATGATTTAGGCACAATAACTGGTCAAGGGACAGCTGTTGCTAGAACACTGACATTCAGTCAGTGTGTTTGTTCAGTGTATTCAAGTCTGGGTTTATAAGCAGTGAGCCAAGACACTTCTGAAATGGCCATCTTTTTACTTTAGTTTGATTGTCTTTGGCATCAAAATGTTTATAGTTTTAAATTTTATATCATAACTTATTTCTCCTTTAACCCTTCACCCCTTCATACTCTCTCTCAACACACACACACACACACATACCCCTACACCCAATCCCACCCCTTCCCCCAAACTCCCACCCACCCCCAACACCCCCCCCACACACACCCCTACCCATCCCACAAGCACAAATGCGCGCGCACACACACACACACACACACACACACACACACACACACACCCCCTGAATTCTGTGGTAGCTGGTCAATTTCCTCAGCTGTTCCTTGAGGCTGAGACAGATCATTACAATTAAAGGTTCAACTGAATTTTGGGGCCGTTTTCCCTTAGATTATTGCAGTTATTATGTACATTTCCCTCCCGGTTCTGCTTTGTTCTCAACAATCTTTTTTTTTTTTTTTTTGGAAAAATTCAGTATGAACTTTTACTTACCTTCCCTGTTAGAACTGAGGGAAATTCAGTATCAAACTTGTTGCTCAAGCCAAACCTTGAAAACAAAGAGACAAAAGATACATTCCACTCAACTTCTTTAAGTTGATTTTTAAAATCATGTTACTTTAATAGGATGGCCTGGTATGTAAAACACACACAAACACACACACACACACACACACACACACACACACAAAATCCTTGGCTTCAATTTTTCTGGATAAATCCATTGGCTATAATTTTGAAAATTAGCTGAGATAATGTATAGTTCAAAAAATTAATCTGGGAAGTTTTAAAAATCATACCATAGGAATTCAAATCCTGGAATGTTAATCCTAATTAAGCGCCATGAGCATGGCAACAAGGAATAAAGTCAGATTCTGACTGAAGTCTGCTTTTTCTAAGTGAGTTGAAGAAATGCTGATGTGTATCTAGCAACCTCCCAATGGCAGAATAAAATGCTTTGCCTTCAACACCTTCAGTTGCCTATCTGACAGCCAGGCATTCTTGGTGGGGGGGGGGGGGAAACAAACCATCCACTTTCTGCCCCAAATACAGCAGGGCCTTTTACCAGCCTACCTGCTCGATTTTGAAGGCAAACATCCCAAGCCCATCTCCTCCCAAAACCTATCAAATGTTCCTGAAGAAACCCCTTGTGAATTCCCTGACTCCAAAGCTACACCTTCATCTTCTGATCTTCTACAGTAATGAAAAGTCCAGAATCATGAAGAAGTGGAGAACTCTGTATGGAAAATGATTATATTCTACCAGACTGGACTAAATTCTACGGCACAGATTGCTGGATTACAACCAGTTGTACTAGATTGGAAATTTGAGTATGGGAAGTGTATGTTTCTAATTCCTGTGACCACCACAGCACCTCACACATGGATATATGAGGCATTCAATCAATACTTGTTGATAAAAATGAATGTTAAAAATTGTTTTTACATGGAATTGGAAAAAAATAAAATACTAAATTAAAAAAGAATAACAGAAAAAAAATACTTGTTCAATGAATGACAACAGTATTGCCTCTATTTAGTTAATCTAGGAAACTGCTTTATATAGCACAGTTACCTCATTTATGGTAGGTTAAATATGGTATTTGTGGTCAGTTTTATTTTTTAAAAGGGCATCAGGCCATTGTTATGGTCTAGAACAGGGATGAGGAACATAACCCCCTATTATACTATTATTTCTAAGGAGGAAAAAAAAATCAGGTTACACTTCAAACAATAAAGCCTTCTTGCCTCTCTGCCCCCTGAACCCTTTCCCATCACTTAAAGTCCAATTCAAATACCACCTCCCCAAGAAGCTTCTCTTGATTCCCCCAGCCCTCAGGCAGTAACAATGTGCTCCCCACCCACATCCCTGACCCTCAGATAGAACCTTATTTGCACCTACCTCCCTTCCTTATGCATTTATGTACTATTTTAGGTGGCATAGCAGAGGGCTGGGCCTGGAGTCAGGAAAACTAAAGTTCAAATCCCACCTCAGACACTAGCTGTGTGACCTTGGGCAAGTCACTTCACCTCTGCCTGCCTCTGTTTCCTTATCTGCCTCAAATATAACCTACCTCAAAGGGTGGTTGTGAGGATCAAATGAGATGTTTGTAAAGCACTTTGCAAACCTTAAAAGCACTCTACAAGTGCTGGCTCTGATCACTTTGTATTAGTATTAGTAATGTATATGTCTTACCCTCCAACAGATTGTAAAGTCCCACAGAGTTTCTGCTCCTTGGGGACATGGGCTGGTTTCTTGGCATTGTACCACCATCTATCACCACAGGCTCTGAATGCTGTAGGGGCTTAATGGATGTCTGATGAATTGAGAAGTCCAAATAGCCTTCCCTTCCCCAGATGCTCACTAATTCACTCAAGCTAACCCACATGACCTTACTCGTCACCTTAACATATCCAAACTGGGGGCTTCTACACTAAAAGAATGGAGTCCCCTGTTAGAGGGCCCAAAATGCAGACCAAAACATAAGATCACCCCAAAAGCAATAACCATGAGACATAGGCTCGGCAGGGATCAGAGAGGGATTGTTCTTTTACAAGGATTACAACAGGGGCCAACCCAATGTTACCACTTTCCTTGTAGATGGAGCACCAGAGGCAGAAGAAAGCATACCAGCCTCCAAAGAAAGAGATGAATCCAAGAAAGAGACATCTAGCAAGTCCAGTATGTGTCAGGCCAGCCAAACTTTCTGGCCACCATGTCACATTAAACTTCATCTCCTGAAAAATGGTGTCAAGGTAATGGACTGACAGGTTTTCTTTATCTGAAAAACGCATTTTCCAACCAAAGAAGGGGTATTTTGTGTTTCCTCAAATAAGGAATGTGACAAGAGCTGAACATTTTGAATAGCTAAAGGAGGTCCATGAAAATCATGTTTAAAAGGGACCAAAGAACTTTTGGGGAAACTACAAGACAGAAAATGACCAAGAAACTGTCAACAAGCTTTTCAAAGCCTATAAAGTTATGGGATGTAACATGTCACTGAAGAGCCATTTCTTGGATTCACATTTGAACTTCTTGGAAAATATAGGTACAAGTCTAAGGAATGCTTCCATCAAAAAATGCCCCCAATGGAAAAGCTAACAACAATACTGGGTGACAAGTGGAGTCCAAGCACAGCATGGCAGTGCTTGAGTAGGCTGGGACCTCCTACTCGACTTGAGCAATGCGCCATACTAAGGCAAAATACAATTTGTAGCTACAGTTTGGCTAAGTTCAATGAGCACTTTTGATCAGCTAAGAAACAATTTCAAAATACAAAACAGTGAGTCCTGTGAAAATGCTATGTATGCAATGGACAAAATCTGAAGCTGTATTTGAAATTTGAACAAAAGCTGCATTTAAAAATCAGAACAAAAACTACTATAAAATTCACCTAAAATCGCAGGACCTACTTTTTACGTGTAACAGGAAAAAAAAAAGCCATCCAGTGCTATAAGCTCACATCACCACGGTATTTTAAGGTTTACAGAGCACTTTCATTACAACAACCCTTCGAGGTAGGTAGGCCAAGTATTCTCTCCATTTTAGAGAAACAGAAAGTAGGCTCCCAGAGCTAAGTAACTCGTCCAGGGTAGAACATCTCACTGGGGGCAGGGTTCAAACCCAGGTGTCTGGTGTTCTTTCCACTACCATACACAGCTCTTAATGCTATCTATAAATACTCACACAGAGTAACAAACCTAATACCTAAAAAAATAAAAATAAAAAATCTAAGGCCTGAGATTTGCTTTGTGGTGTCTTTAGACTTTATTTCATCATATGAGGAATCTATATTATAGTATTTAATTTACAATGACGTGCTAATCCAGGAATCTGGAACACAAATATGTAACAGAATAAAAGCAGGCCATTCCATCTAAGTTATGATACAAATCTTTGAAAGCATTAATCAAGAAGGCTTCATTTAATCTACTTTCCCACAAAGAAGTTTTTTATGCGACTCGACCTCAGAGATAGCCTTGGGCTCCATTCTGAGAAGGTCGACACCACATATTTTAAGCAGTGATGTATTTTAAACTCTTCCTATATACTATTCATATCCAAAGGTAAGAGTTTTAGTAAAATGGGTTCATATAACTTAGAGCTAAAAAGGAACCTTGGGGAGTATTCAGTCCTTTGTCCACATTTTACCTAGCAAGAGCATGAGACTAAAAAACTTTATCTTTGTGGGCTCAGATTGCTTTAAGACAATTTCCAAGAATTCAGTGTGCTACAAAACCCAGCACTGCCTGAACTTTGATTAACAAGCATCTTCTCTCTGGAGGCAAATTTACAGCTAAAGAATGAAAAGAAGCATCATTTGAACGGTTAGTGAGTGCTCTGCACTGGCTAAACACCAACTCCCAACGGAAATGGGGTTTTGCTCATCTTTTTAAATAATATATAGACAAGTCCTTCTAATAAGACATATCGTGTTCTATTTATAAACCCCTTGCATTTTTTTGTTAAAAAGGTTCAACATGAACCTAATGCCAAACAATGCCACTTGCATTCCTTTTCCGGGGTGCTATTGGGGCATTTCAAGCCTATCACAATCTGGCTCCAGCCTGTCTTTCCAGGCTGATTACACATTACTTCCCCCATTCATTATATTCCAGTCAAACTGGTCTGTTTGTAGCTATACAGAACACTGCCTTTGTACAGACTGTGCCCCATGACTGGAATGCTCTCTCTCCTCACTTCAAGAGGCCTTTCCCGATTTCCCCAGTTATTCGTGCCCCCTTCCAAATCAGTGTAATCTTGGGGCCATATAGTCTGTATGCTGTATAGGAAAGGCACACTACATAGTGGATAGAGAGCCAACCTTCAAGCCAGGAAAATCCAAGTACCAGTCCAGACTCCAACTGGCTGGGAGACCCTAGGATCTAGGATCTAGACCCTAAGATCAGATCTCTCACCAACGCTCTAAGAGATGATAATCTCCAAGGTTTATAATCTCTAACTGCAGAAAAGCTATCGACCTGCATTGGTACAAGGTGTTGCCTATGCCACTGAAATCCCAGACCCAGCCAGTCTTTCTCCCTTCCCCCTCCACCTACTTCTCTATAAATATGCTATATCCTCCAGGAGAATGTAAACTCCCTGAAGGCAAGAGAACCTAGCACAGTGCTTGGCACATAGCGAATGCCAAACAAATGCTTGGTGACATTTTAAGCTTTAATGTATTATGGACATATTTTAAATTATACTAGGTTTATTTTGCAAAATGATTTTTGAAGTTGCTTATTTTGATCTCCCACTAGTGAGAGTTAATGTCTACAATACACTCCCATAATTGAATCCACAGAGGCTTCTCTAGAGCTCCCTTTCCCTTCACTCTTACAGAGGCAGAAATATTCCCTCTCTAAAGATCCATACAACCTCACTCTCCCAGGCCTTAACTCTTCAAGACTGGTTAACACGCTCATTCTTTTCTCTCCAGGAGCTTCACCTTCTTCCTGTTTTCAAATAAGCACCTCCTTTGATTTCCAAGCATTTCCCTCCTTGAAAAGAATGTTCCTTTATTTCTGGCGCCCCTTCCAGTGACCA